ATACCTCAGAATGAGATGACAATAGACTTCGAGGTTGGCATTCGCAGACCGCATGGCGCTTGAGTATCAGAACGGGCTACGCTCCTCCAACCTGGTCACACTGATTGCTTTAGCCTGCAAACAAGCTGCGTCGGTCCCAAGAGTCCCAAGAGTCCCAAGAGACCCAAGAGTCCCAAGAGTCCCAAGAGTGCACTCCGGTCAGTCCTGAGTAAGGGGCTTCAGGACAAGCATGTACCTCACGTCAGATCCCCCGAGCGCTGTTGAATGAGGCTTAGGAAATAAGGCGAAAGGCCTCGATGGGCGGGAGGCGTCTTTTGTTGGGCGGTTTCGCTTTTGACCCCATCAGTTGGGGGAAAATTGGCCAGCGCAACAGAAAGAAGCCAAAGCGGAAACATGCGGAAAATCAGTTTGGGCTGCAAAACCCATGGCAGCGCGCAATATCATCTTTTTCGGGGCTTCACAAAGGAGCGAAAAAGATGTTTGACAACCTGACATATGCTTTTGAGTTGCAAGAAAATGCGCCCCACGTTTGGGCTGCTTTTTTTCAAGTGAGTTTCGAGGGAGCCTTTGTTGGAAACCGGTCATGGATGCATCATGCCAGTATGCGCCAGTTTATTCAACCCCCCCCTGCCACCCAAAGACCCTGAAACGGTGGAGTTGCCAAGCATAAGGCCTATGAACCGCTCTCCGAAGAAGGGGGGGGGTTCCACAATTCTGCGCGAACACGCGGGACGGGTGCCCTGAAACTCCATAGGCTAACCACCATAAGTGTCCTCTTAGGGCAAATAGATGGCCCTGGTAGATGATTAAACCACCAGGTAAACCAGGGCCATCTATTTTTTCTCCCAAAACAACCAAAAAGGACACCTATGCTAACTACCCTTCCCGGGCTCCACTCAATCACATCGATCCTTGCCTCGTAGCGCGGCAAGCCAACCAAAAAGAAAGACATCAAGCTTTGGCCCGCGTTTCGTGAACACTCAACGGAGACATGGTGTCAAAACAGATCTCTTGGGCCACCTAAGCATGTTTATGATTTGGCAAAACTGCGGGCTACGCCAAAACCGTATGTGACGTTCGATGCTTCATATTTCGTTGACCCGGGCTAAAATCGCGGAGACCCCCCCCCAGGCGCCACATCACCATGGTCACCACGGTCCTCGGTCGAGTTGACAGGATGGAACACACGGCCTCTGTGGTCCAGAAATGGCTTTGCAACGGACCCCGGTTGAAGAATGGCTGTTATTCGGGGTCCTGAGAATCATCTTTTGGGGTGGGAACTTTTGGGGTGGGAAAATGGCTGTCCAACATACGGGGCCCGTTTGAACATTTGCTGTTCTTTTTTGTATCCCTGAGAAGTACTCCATTGGGGTGCAAGAAGGGCTGCCCGACATCTGCACACCCTTTGAAGAATGCCAAGTGTTTTTTGTTTAGTCGTCGCTAAGAAATCACATGTTTGGGGTGTGAAGATGACTGTTCAACATACGAACCCCCAAACTACTGGTGAAAGGCATGTTAACTGCATGCAGCAATGAAAACGCAACGCGCCAGGCATAGCTAGCTCTATGGACGTGTCATCGAGGATTTTGTGAAAGCATCTCAACTGCGTTGTTGCCCCCAAGTTGCGCAAAGCGAGCAAATGACAGGATGTCAGGTCACTTGGGTCCGCCAGAGGACGTGTGTGCTTGCGCAGCTGCCGACCCTGCATCTACAGAACCGCGGTGAAACGCTCGCGAAAAGTGCCCTGGCGGTAAGTGTGGCAATGGACCACCTTGCTCGACAAGCACCTCGTGGCAGGCGCTCTGGCAGCAATGCCAAGGTAAAGAAGTATTCAGAGTCGTTGCGTCAGTATTGGAGCACTCACTTGCTTGGTCGCTCGGTCGACCTAAAAAAAAAAAACGACGTAAGAAAATCGGTCTGATTTGCTTAAGACGATGTTCCTCCAAATACCATTTGAGCATGTCCCCACCCTCCCGTCAGAAGGATTCCTTTCAGATGGGGTTCCGGGTATGCTCAAAAGGCATGGAGGGATCGTCCGGGCTCAAAAGTATAACCCGGATCCGTTTGGCTTAAGACACAAAAAAGCGGAAGTTGCCAAGGGAGTTGACTTATTCGAGTGTGCCTCTCTTGACAGGTACCCCTTTCTTTGAGGAGGGGAGGGGTGCGCCCAACTCAAGCTTGGGTCACTCACCAAAAAAGATGCGCCTAGTGAGGGATAAAACAGTCGCCTCCCAAAGCGGCATTCCCATGGCTTCCTAAAGGCCTTGCCCCCCCCTCTTCTGAGTTCCTTAGATGTATCCTTCAACACATCACCTTGCAGATCAAGCACTCTTTGTTACATTACCCAAAAGGTGATCTTGAAAAGTACTCGGGGGGGAAGCACATGTGAAGGTGCACAGAGTTCCAGTTCTGGATTGCCCCAAAGGTAGACTTTTGCCCAGGGCTTCTTTGGAACCAACCGCCGGGCTGTCTACCTTTGCGTCATCAAGAAGCTCACCTTGGTCCACGCTGGGGGGGGGGTTGGGAATGAATTTAGAAATTCCCAAGGAAACCACCAGTTGGTTGACATTTGTCGAGGTCATTCCCACATTCGCTCGAGCCAGATCGTCTTGCGACACCAACAACCCGGCAACCATCTGGAATCTGGTTGCAAATGATGATTCACCCGGAAGCACATCGCCGATCGCTGGCTCGCGTAGCCCGAGCGGCGAAATGGCGCTCAGGAAGTCGAAAAGGATGAAGGGATTCCCCAGCACGTAGTAGACGATGACCTAGTTCACTTTGATCGAACCTGGGGGACTTACAACCATGGCTGTGGCCTACCAGTGAGAGAGAACCATTCTCCCAAGACAATGAGGAACCAAAAAAAAGCCATCATGTGGGTCAAAAATAATACATGGTTACCTTTCGAGGTAACTAGCTGGAACGGGGGACAAAATGTACACCCCAAGGTTAGGGTTCCCGTTTCCAACATATCGAAGGAGTCTTTTAGGACCGCTTTGCCAATGGAGCCGTTTCGGATGGCAAAAATTCAGGGGAAAACCGTTTGCAAGCGGATGGCGGTTGGCGTTTTCAAGCTCCCTGTTGGTTGTTTCCTTTGGAATTTGCTTTGGCTGGCTTCCCTTTTAGGTTCCCTTATGGTCTTCTTTGTTGGTTCTCTTCAAATTGCAGCTTTGTTTTTGCTTTGCTTGTTGCCTGTTTGTTTGTTCCCTTTACATTCCAGGTGCTCAGCGTCCCCTGGTGTCCCTGTTTTGTTCTTCGGGGTTTCCAGGTGGTCGGGGTCCACTCGTGATGCCCAGTGCGTGAAGCTTGTTAAGCCCCCCCCCCCCCCCCGGCCCCGAACCGTGGGAAATTGTGAGGGTCGTTGGAGACCCGGGCATCAGCAACCCAGACCCGGCAAATGCCCCACCCCCCACCCCTCCCCGCTGAGGTTAATCAGCCTTAAGGCCAAACACGGCCAAACAACGGCCCTAACCCTTCAAGGGAAGGGGGTCCGGGAGTAGGGTCCCCGAATCTTCTTGCCTCTGTCTAGTTCTGGAATAGGCTTCGGACGGTCCTCTTGAACAGGTTGCAAAGACTCGAACGTTGGAAGGGTAAATGAAAAAGTGGCCCCTGAAAGCAACCAAAGAAAGCCCTTGGGGTTGGTCGTCTTTTAGGAGCGGCTAGCAGAACCTACGAAAAATTGAAGAGTGCCTAAAAACGCACCTGAAGATTGAAAGGCCAAGCTCGCACATATACATATATATATATGCTCCAAGAGGGCAAAACAGGGTTCTGGCAGGGTACATCTGCAAGTTTTCTCAACCACCCAATTTTTCAAACCACTGCCCATATGCGAGTGTGTTGTGTCTGTGTGTGTTTTTGTGTTTCTTGGGTGAGGAGGGGGAGCGTTTTTGGACTTCAGCATCACGGGGATCGATTCGATTCGCCTGGCACACCACGAAGAGACGCTCCCTGATGTTCTTGGCGTCGCTCTGAGCGCAAAATGAGCTACACGCAACGGTGCGACAGCTGTGTTTGAGGGGATTGACAAGAAAAAAGGTCCGAAAGTTGTTTTGGCCGTCCCAAAAAGCATAAGCACCCCCCCCCCCTCCCCCCAGGTTTTTAATGGGGGGAACCCAATTCTTCAGGGGAGTCCACCAAGCACCGTGAGAGGACAGGACCATGAGCCCCAACCTTAATGCAAGGCTTGTCTCAAGTACACTCAACGCAGGGTCGTGGGAGCGAGCGGTTTGCCCAATGAGACCAGGGACCCTTTCCGCCCGACCCTATGGGCTGGTATTAACAGCCGAAAAAACAACAAAGTCCTAGTTCTACATGTTGAAAGCAGGGGTTTGGAAAAGGCAGGCACGCTCTCACTGAGAAATTGCCAGAGGTTGTCCCTGGAACAGAAAGCCTTCCATACCACCGCTGTTCCATTCGAAGGGGCGGTTTGGTATCAAAGAACTGGGGTGCCACTCACTCCTGGGAAGGGGGCGGATGGTGGGTCATCTTCCCGAACAAATGGCCTCGGAAGATCGATGCCACTGCTTGTTCCAGGCCTTTCGACTTGTAAAAGCAAGCAGCTATGTTTGAACACAAGGTGGCGGGAATGCTTCTGTATTTTCTCTCCGGAATCGTTACCCCCTCAAAGTGAAGAATGAGGCATGGAGCCGTCTTGCCGGCAGATTCCCCCCAAAATTGCCCACGTGAACCGAGCACATCCAACCACAAAACCCTGAAAACTTGGGCAGAAGGGGGTTCTTTCCCTTGTTCCCCCTGCTACATTTAGGGCTTCTCCTTGTTCCCGGGTGTGAGCGTTAGGGGAAACTGGCGGCCAATCCAACCAATAAGACCTCAACAGTTCCGGGAGGGGGTCTTTGGGGGTGCCGGTATCCTCTTTTGGTTCTCAATGGCAACTGCAAGGACACCTCGGGGATCACGCACCCCAAAGAGACCCCTTAGGTTTCCTTGTGGTGTCCCTTTAAGCCAAAGTTGAAAAGCGTACCGAGCCTCACAAAAACCAGCCACACCCGTGTGTCCTTAAGCGTATTTGACCCCACCCTGGGCAAAACGGCAAGAAAGCGCTGACTCCTGCAAGTGTGGCCCGCAGAGCCACCCCCTTGAAAAAGAACACGAACTCCGGCTAAAGCGTTCTCCAACTTGATATTCCACCAAAACAAAGGGTTTTACTCGTTTTAAATAGGAATCCAACCTGATGTTTCATTGAGACAGCAGCGGGGGCAAAAGCAAAAATACTGCACTTTGACGGAGGAGCTCTTGATTCTTTATATTCCACCAAGGAATCTCCAAGAGCAGAACCTTCGTGCGGCTCGTTTTACCCCTGCTTGGCTCTACCCCATGTCTCCCACATCTGCACAAAATAGAAAAGACTTGACTCATGCAAGTCTACCCAAACATATCACAAGGCCCTTGCGCACCATCCACCCCTCCCGATATCCCCGCCTTGCGCACCGCTGCGAGCGCCACCCTGTCGAAAGCGTGGCTGAAGCTCAGCCGGGGGAGCTCTGAGCTCGAATTTTTGGGTGAACAACTCCGCAAATCAATATCTCGCTGGTGCTCAGCAGGGAGTGAGGGGATGACCCGTATAAACCATCCCTTGCGGTTTCCTTTGAGATTTATGACTCATCCCACTCAAATCATCCCAGGAAGATTGGAATCCCCAACAGCAACCCAAGGAACACTCTTCCCCGGAGCTGCTCCGAACCACTCCGGAGCCTACATATATGGGCCTATGGGCCCCAAAGATTCCACTGGTGGAATAAAGAATTGGCTATGATGTTTAAGAGTTGGAACCTCTAAAGTGGTTGGACATGTTCATCCCCAATGTCCATGGGTTCGGGAGTCCGCGCATCAAAGCTTTCCCTGGCAGGGCCCTTGCTTGCCCCGAACAAAGTTCTGGTTGCTGGTTAGTGAGAGAAAATGCAGATGACCCAAAAAGGTCGCAGGTTCAAGATCCGGCCAGCGGCTAAGTTTGGGCTCCGTTTTCGCGTACATGTAAAAACAGCTTGTAAAAGATGAGAGAGAGAGAGAGAGAAAAAAAGAGAGAGAGAGAGAGAGAGGCGTTCTGTCCTCATAGCTTCTCTTTCACTGAGCTCTTGGATCCGTTAAGAGCTTTACGCTTTTCCCGGGGGTGCGTCGAAAAAGACCCGCTGTCACATCTCAACAAGTCTCGGGACATGGGCTGTCCAGCCTGTAGAAGGCGCGGAGGCAAAGCACCAGCCGAACCACGGTGAAGGCAATGATGGCCTTGGCCAAAAATTGAGAGGCTTGTTTGAGGGCCAAACCGTGAATCTGTGGGAATTGTGTTTTTCCCTAACAGCTGAAAGCCTTGGGGTCTCAGCCCAGATAGGCTCCGGGGTGGTCCGGGGCGGTCCTGAGGTAAGGTTCCACGAGGGTTCCACCAGGGTTCCACCAGGGTTCCACGAGGCTGTGCGAGGGCTGCGGGGTGGTGCGAGCACTAAAATTTAAAAAGAGCACCGCCTGCTGTTGGGGATATCACCTGAGCTTATTTGTGGAAGCTGAGTGGTTCGTTGAGCTTGTCCTAACAGCTTCTCTTCTTGTGAAATGCGAAAACAAAAACTGAGAGGGTCCGGCAACCCCAAACAGTGAATCCGTGGGCATGCATGGTTGTGGGAGCGCTCGATCCCTTGCGAACAGCTCTTCCTTTAATGACATGTGATGCTCAATCCCCTCCGAGCTCGCTAGAAATGTAAGAGTTTCAGGGCACGGCCCGGCACCGCCGACGAAAGTTGCTGTTTTGTTGCTACCAGAGTGGGACTTTCGCATCATTCTTGCTTACTTTGAAGGGGGTCCCCTTCGAATCACGGACAGTGGCAACCTAAAACCAACAACATTGCACAATCATGTGGGAGCTTCTCCAAATGGTGGACCTCCCTGTGGGTTGGTATTCATTCAAAGGAAAACCGAAAAGGAAACCTCACTTTTTAGGGGCCATTTTTGAAAAACCCCTCTGTGGATCCATCACATAGGACACGCGTTTGATTCATTGCGTTGACTGGGAAGGGAATGAACCCAGGCGTTGGTCCCCTAAAGGAAACCACCAGTGGGATAGGGGTCATTCCATTTCTCATTCCGTGCCTATCGCACCAGCAAGAAGAAAAGAGAATCGGTTTGTTGTTTGTATTTGGGTGCGCAATGCACTGCATTTGTTCCCGTACCGCCCTCTTGTACCCTGCCAACACAAGGCGAAAGGAAGATTCCAAAATGTTCGGGCAGAACCCGGGGCAAAACCAAGAAGCCAGTCAGACCAGAAAAAGGGAAAGTTCCACCGCTTGCACTGTCTTCCCTCCAGAGGACAAATGGCCACGGCGGATCCCACTGAGTTAGGCCTTCCGACCCAAGGAAAAGGTCGAAGCACTCGGAGAAAAAAGTTGGCAAAAAAAAAATCCCAGGTTGGTCAACGGCTGGTCATTTCAAGGCTCCCAAAAGAAAAAGCAGTGACCAGGGACCATACGAACCCCCCAACGGTGAGCTTAGCCTTGTTTTGTCTTAATAGGGCTGTTGGAGAGGGGTGTTGGAGGGGAGTGAAGGCCTTAATTGACATACTTGTGGGGGTCTTTGGGGGCAGGGCGGGGGGGGGGGGAGGGCCCCGCCCCCTGATGACCCACCAATGTTCTCGCTTGCTTCCCAAGAACGGTCCAGAAGGAGTGCTTTTGGGTTCCACATTAGTCTGCCGGAGTGTATCTAAGTCAGCTGCAGGGACCAAAATCCCTTTGACTTTGGGTTCATGGTGCAGGAATGCCCTGACTACACCGAATGAAATGGCCAATGAGTGAGGCTGTCGCGGGCCTCGATCCTATGACGTGTCTGAACATATGACACTTGTCATGATGCTAGTGTCCCACTGTTCTTTCAAGCACGATAGTGATGCCCAAAGCCGAATGCGAGGAGCGAACTTGGATCCTATCTTCTCTGCCACCCGTCTACCTCTCTTCCTCCTCTGTGTCTCCCCTCTGTCCTTCTCCAACTCTTCCTCCCTCTCACTCCCTCCTCATTCACCGCGAGGTTGGGCCAACCCCATGTTTAAACACGTTCAAGCTCCCTGTGGTTCCCCTAAGGTGCGGGGGTTGCCCAAATCCACCGCCCCCCCCTCTCCCCCCGCCAGCATCGACTCATCGATTCCATCGCCAGGCCGCGATCTCCATGAAAAGCCTTGGCAGGAACCAGATCGTGGAGACGTCAGGGAGCTTCAGGGCGCCGATGTTGATGGTCTCGCGCACACCAAGCCCCCGATCTGACTTGGCTTCTTTCTGGACGCATGGGCTTACTGTAACAAGGCTTCTTCACCAACCCTTCAACTCCGGACTGGGGGGGGGGGGCAGTCTTTGGTGGCTTGTGGCGTCCGTATTTTGTTGCCTCACGTCGACACAGGCCCGTGATGGTTGGGTCTTGGGAGGTGTGCGGCTCCCCGGATTTTGGCAAACCTTTTGCGTCCCCCCCCCCCCCCTTCCGCCAAGCAAGGCTTATTCACCCCTTGACCATTGAGGAAGGTGGGAGGATTGATATCAAAGTCGGTCCCTGGCAAAAGTTGGGCACAAAAACGTCCCTTCGGAGAAGTCAAAGAGGCCTTGAGATGGCCTCTTTTTGGGACCTTTCGTAGCCCCTAACCCTTGGAGGTCAACCCTACCAACCCCCAAACTCTTAGGCCTTACTTGGCCTTATTTGAGTTTCTCGGCCTTTGGCCTTATGTGGCGTTGCTATTGCTTCTTGACGCCATGGGTTTTTGGGGGGTGGCCTGCAGGGTCCGTAACACTGGCTGCCTTTGATGGTTGCGGGGTTCTTAGAGACGTTTCAGCAGGTGAGCTTTGCGACAGACAAGTTGGACCTTTTGGTTGTGTTGGAAGGAACCAGCATGGCACCAACCAGTGGGGTTCGTAGCTTGGCACATTCTCGTTTGGATATCGCTGACCTTCTGGATTGACTAGCTCGGACCTAAATCGATAAAGGAACCTGGTTACAAGGGGTTGAACATTTGGAAACTGAGCAGCAAATTCTTGGGATCGGTTAGACTTTGTGCGCTGCATGAGGGGTTAATCCCAGGATTATCAAAAACCCTGCTGAATGCGTCCCAATTGGGAAGAGTAGTCGCAATCACGCAGACAACAATGTCAGACCATTCCCAAAGAAACCTGCTGGACACAGGCCGACGGCCTTTTCAGTTGGAAGGCGCAACTTCTTGGCCATATTGAGCCACATTCGATCAGGGGTCAGTCCGGAGCCCTGGAGCAAGGCACGCTTTCCATGCCAAGGCGACGTGGAGAAGCAAACTACGCAACTCGGAAGGCCAGTGGTCATGCGAAACAAGGGCACCCTTTCGGCTGGTTGATTTTGGGACGCCCTTCTCAGAAGGAAAAGTGTGGTAGTGGACAACTAGGGTAAGTAGGTAGTCAGCCTGGTTCTACTCCACTTAAGCTTGTAACCATGGCTAGTAAGTGGGTTGCCCAGCCCAAGCCTGCAAGAAAAAAGATGAACCGGGCCACGGGAGATGCAGAATTGGGCGATCCGACTTGCGTGATGTTTCGAAAGACGGTGTTCTGTTCAAAAACTTTGGGTTGGTTGCCTTTAAAGGGTTGCTCGAACAACCTTTGTTTGTTCCCCTTTCAAAGGGTTGGTAGCACGGTCTTCCGGCTTCCTTTTGGGCACAGGATTCTTTAGACTTTAAGTAACCTCCTGGTGTCCCTTTGATCAGGCCCCTGCGGCACTGGTTCAGCCCTCGCCCAACCGATTCGAGCTTGGAGACGCCTTGTCGATGAAGCCACTGGGTGAGAAGTCGAAGACAACGCCCACATGGAAGAAGGAGTCCTGGGTTTGTGTCAACGGCTCCCAAAATCTCTTCGGCTTTCCAGAATTCACTCCAAGGCGACCCTCAAGACACATGCCCAACCCTGCACATGAGGCTGCTCGAATAAGCGGCTCGTTGCGCGCTGAATCCCTTCCGTGGAACTGGGTTTGCGGATCCGTTTGTTTAATCCAGCTGCGCTGCGCTACTCGCAAGCGAGCCCTAGGGCACGAGCCATGACCTGCACCGTCAGGATCTTTTTGCATTGCAGTTGTCTTGGGGCTGGCTGCCAGCTGTGTTGCTTCCAAAAAACGCCAAAACAAGTGAAAACACCCATAGAAATGGTCACTCAAACGTGTGCTGGGCTTGTGTGCTTTGCAGGCCTTGGTATTCTAGAAAATGAGCTTGACTGAACAGCCTACCTTGTTTGCTGCTTACAAAGATGGAGGGGTTGACCAATACTCCATAAGCCCTTACTGGAAACCACGCACAAAAGCCCTGAAGAGTGACAAAGTGATTTCGGGCAAACCAAAGAGCAGCAAAGCTGCCACACCCCAACAGAAGGTTGTTGGATTCTCTTGAAACTTGCCCTTGGCACTTCGATGTGCGGGTAACGGAAACCCTCTGAGAGGCCAAGTAAGGGGTTCCGGATCTTTCTGGGCAGGGGTTGGCAGGATCGTTCCTTTAGTGATTCTGTACACGTCTGTGCTTCGCTCATCTCATGGTGTCTTGACGTATTTTCTCCGAGCTGAGCCGCGATGTTCCCGTTGTAGGCCACGAAGTCCGCCGTGAGCTTCCGGGTTTGGTTGGTGGCGATGGGATCCAGCCGCATGTGCTTCAGCGTAGGTATGGTGACCTGGCAGCTTTTTTTGCAAAAAGGGTAGGGGATCTGCCTACAATATTCGGCCCCCCCCCACCACCACCAACCCCCGCACCCCATGGGTTTTCTGCGGGATTTAAGCAAAATGTTGGTTAGACCAAATCCCTATGCACCGGCTGGGCTTCCAGCCCAACTGTTCTGAGGGGCACTTGCCCTCTAGAAACCAGAAAAGGGGTCCCGCGGAGTCGGATTTCTCTAAACTCGGGGAATACACAGGCGCCATTGGATTTTGGACATCAGAGGGTGATAAACAAGGTCCAACGGTTGTGAACTCGCAAAACCAGGGAGGGGGAAGCAAAAACAGGGACGGCATGGTTCGGAAATCAGTAAAAACCACAACAGCGGAACCCAGCTTATTGTTGAAACCTGGTTTGTTTTAACATGAAAAAGCCAAGCAACGCCACGAGTGTCCAACATGTTCGAGGAATCAGAAAACCAAAACAAACCCACGTATCTGTACAAAGTCAGAAGCCAACCACGAAGGGAACTCGACGTCCTTTACAAAGCAGGCAGCAAGCAAACTCAATCTAGGATTCAGAAACTTATTTCCACCATATGACAAGTCAGCAAAAATCTTCCCATCGGATGGTCCCCTATAGATTCACCTGCGTTGGTGATTTGGGTGGGGGACTGTCGACCTTTTGACCCTTTGAATTTGACCCTAAAGTTCCCTTGGCCCACATGGGTGTGTCGCTTTTGAGTAGACCCCCAGAATGGTTGGTTTCCTTTTGGCTTCCCTCCAAAACCAACCAAAAGACGGTCCTTCCCCCCCCAAAAAAAACAACAACAACAAGAAAGACCGACACACGTCGTTGGTACGCAAAAAAACCCTCGGCCTTGCCAGGGATTCAAACCGAGCGAAACCCGTGCGAGACACCGTCGCCTCCTTATCCACCGAAAGCATGCAGCTGAAGCCAACGTCCTCCTGAATGCTCCAAAGACTCAAACAACTTCTCCCTGTTTAAGGTTTATGTTGTTTAGGGTTTAGGGATAAGCGGTTAGGTTGTTTTAGGTTTAGGTTGTTTAGGGTTTAGGTTGTTTAGGGTTGAGGTTGTTTAGGGTTTAGGTTGTTTAGGGTTTAGGTTGTTTTAGGTTTAGGTTGTTTAGGGTTTAGGTTGTTTAGGGTTGAGGTTGTTTAGGGTTTAGGTTGTTTAGGGTTTAGGTTGTTTAGGGTTTAGGTTGTTTAGGGTTTAGGTGTTTTAGGGTTTAGGTTGTTTAGGGCTTAGGTTGTTTAGGGTTTAGGTTGTTTAGGGTTTAGGTTGTTTAGGGTTTAGGTTGTTTAGGGTTTAGGTTGTTTAGGGTTTAGGTTGCTTAGGGTTTAGGTTGTTTAGGGTTTAGGTTGTTTAGGGTTTAGGTTGTTTAGGGTTTAGGTTGTTTAGGGTTTAGGTTGTTTAGGGTTTAGGTTGTTTAGGGTTTAGGTTGTTTAGGGTTTAGGGTTTAGTTTAGGGTTTAGGTTGTTTAGGGTTTAGGTTTAGGTTGTTTAGGGTTTAGGCTGTTTAGGGTTTAGGTTGTTTAGGGTTTAGGTTGTTTAGGGTTTAGGTTGTTTAGGGTTTAGGTTGTTTAGGGTTTATGTTGTTTAGGGTTTAGGTTGTTTAGGGTTTAGGTTGTTTAGGGTTTAGGTTGTTTAGGGTTTAGGGTTTAGGCTGTTTAGGGTTTAGGCTGTTGAGGGTTGAGGTTGTTTAGGGTTTAGGTTGTTTAAGGTTTAGGTTGTTTAGGGTTTAGGTTGTTTAGGGTTTAGGTTGTTTAGGGTTTAGGTTGTTTAGGGTTTAGGTTGTTTAGGGTTTAGGTTGTTTAGGGTTTAGGGATTGGGGTTTAGGCTGTTTAGGGTTTAGGTTGTTTAGGGTTTAGGTTGTTTAGGGTTTTGGTTTTTTAGGGTTTAGGTTGTTTAGGGTTTAGGCTGTTTAGGGTTTAGGTTGTTTAGGGTTTAGGTTGTTTAGGGTTTAGGTTGTTTAGGGTTTAGGTTGTTTAGGGTTTAGGTTGTTTAGGGTTTAGGGTTTAGGTTGTTTAGGGTTTAGGTTGTTTAGGGTTTAGGTTGTTTAGGGTTTCTGAACCCAGCTGCGTCTTTGCGAGGGTAAAGAGAGTCCTGTCAGTTCTATCTTGGCTTCGAGCTACTTCCAGCAAGCCATTCCAAGCTACGTCTAAGTGTCTACGGAGTTTCCCAGTCCTTGTTCTTTTTCTGGCCAGTGTTTTTTGGTTGTTGGACCAGTGTTTGTGTTTTTTTTCCGAGCTGTTGAGGAAAGTTCGTCCAAGTTTTCCCAGGTGTCGACCAGCTTTTCCGAGTGTTTCCGGGCAGTGTTTCCGAGTTGTTTCCTGATCTTGCGAGTTTTTCCAGCCTGTTTTCCCAACTTGTTGCTGTCAGTTTTCTCCTCGCTTTGAGTTGCTAGTGTTTTGCAGCGATCTTTCCGAGGCTTCTCGAGGTCTTCCGCTCATTCCAGCTTGTTTTCCCAGAGTTTCGAGCTTGGCGGGCAGTTGCTCCAAGCTTTTCCTGCCAGCTTGCTCGAGTTTGTCTGCCCGGCCAGTTTGTCGGAGTCTTTTCGGTCATTGGATCCGAGTTTTTCCGGCCATTTTTGACAAGTTGTCCGGCCAGTCTTCCGATTGTCTGGCCCACACCGACAATCGGCAATCGGACCTGCGCGTATCGGACCGTATCTGGCCTGGACCCACACAGACCTGCGCGTATCTGACCGCATCTGGCGTGGCTCCACACAAACGCCCAAACGACCAACTAAGGCCTCAACCCTCCCTAATAAAACGGGTTGCGGAGTCTTTGGGCGGGGTGTGCGGGGTCCCGAATGATATTCATGATCCATCCGGCCTGAAACACCCATTGTGATCGTCTGTTTGTTTGTGTGCGGGGAAGATGACAGAAACGCGAGCCGAGCTGGTTTTTGGTTCCACCAAGATGGTAAAGGTTTGTATAAGTACTATTCCTTTTACGCGGGGGAAGTAAAGGGGATGACTGAACCAAAATGGAAGAATTGAATTCGCCCTCTGGCAGACTGTCGGTATATATGAAATCCTTCACTTGCTTCAAAATCACTTGGCCCAACTCTGACCTACAACACAACAAACCAATAATGTTCAATTGCCTCATATGTGTGTTGCATTTTTTTTGCGGACCCCCGGAACAAACCATTTTTGGGAGTCCCTTAGGCACAGGCATACTCAGTCTATCCAATCTCAGATCAGTTGGGAGCCTGCAGGTTTCGGGCCGCCGTTCTGCCGCGACGCTGTGCGCGCGTGCATAGCGTGGCCTTGCGCGGCTCCGCGCTTGCGGAAGGGCCCCCGCGCCTTGTAGCCCCCGCAGTACTTCTCCAGGACCGCACGCGCGCGGTCGTCCACAACCTCCTAACCGGATCAGCGCATGACGCGAGACTCGAGCACTTGACATCGACTCGTGGACAAAACGTCAAACCTAGATCCGCCCAATGATTTGGGGATAGAGATTGGTGGGCTGTACTGGGACACCCGATGTAGAACCAAACCGAGGCGGCCAAACCAACAAGCACGGACACATGAGTATGAGTATATATATATATATATGTGTTCTATATATATATACATACGCAGACATACTATCACACACACACACAAACACATGCGTATACATATATATATATACACAATTACATATACATACACAGGTTGGAAGGCCACGTTCTTTTGGAAAGGGTTCCCGTTTGTTGGTGCGGTTTCAAATCAACCAGAGGTTTTTTTGTGGCTCGGGATCCAAAGCTCAGATCTGAATCCCTAGGAGCACAGGACAGATTTGCCATGGGCAGCTTCGGAGAAAGACTCTGCAACTTGGCCATGGGTCAAAATCCAAATCGGTTAGCCCCCAGTGAACATCTGATTCAATCCAACCACTGAAATAGGAAGCCTAAAATGGGTGGTGAATTCACCGAAAACCCAACCAAAATGGGCTCCCAAAACGGTTTTGACCACCACAGCCATTTTTCCACTTCCAAGAGCTGAATCGACCGGTTCAGGCTTTCCTTGGCCTCATCAGCGGCCGGATCACTGCTAATGAGGCGGATCAACCAATTCCAATTGGGGAGCTAGGGCCGGTCGGGTCGGTTAGGGCTAGGGATCCCCAACTCCGAATGGATCGCCATACAATTTGCAGTAAAATAGGGAGAAGAACCTGGTTGCTGTTGACCCCATCTGCAAAAGTTTAACTTTTTGTGGGTCCAATGGAAAATCCTACTGTTTCCCAAAATTCTAAAGTCCGAAGATCCAACCAAAGAGCCATGCGGAAGAATGCCCTCTCTTCAGCCCCTTTGACCATGTTGCTTCAGGAGAAAGCCTTCTCTTGGAAAGGTCGGGTCTCAAAAATCACCGAACTACCGGCCCTGGTACCCAAAAGACCCAAGGCTTAGGGGCTGATAAGCATTGTGGCAAGGCCAAACAAAGAAGTCAGCTGGTCAGCTGCCACTCGACAATATGTGTTGCCCCAACTTGTGAAAGCGGAGTCTTTGGGTCTATAGTGGGCCCCACCCATTCATAGGTGGCCATAGGGCCACCTATGTTTTCATAAAACATTCAAACAAATGTCTATGCAATCAACCTTGTGTTCTTTTTTGAGGGGCCCAAGTGAGAGCCCACAAAAATGGCCACTGGGCATGGGTTGCGGTTGCAGTGCGGGGTATCCCGCCACGCCCACGCCGAGCATCGGCGCTGCTGGTGGCAGGCGCATTGCTGCGGATCAGCTGGGGCACCGGGAAGCGGGTGGTGACGCTCCCATTGGACACCTCCCGCGCAGGCGGAAAAACAAGGTGGGACCCCCCAAAATGGTTCGAAGGTTCCTCCGAATTCGCAAAGGGGGGCGGGGGACCCTCCAGGAAAAGACACCCCCAGAGCTACGGCTTTTTTAATCTGCAGGGGATAGTTAGGGCTCGGCCCCCGAGCGTTTTGTGGGGAAAAAGAGCGAGTCTCCACAAAACCCGCCCACAAGAACCATATCATACACTACTGGTAGGTTTGAACCTATTCGTTTGTCTTAGGGCCTCAACGGCTATGGACCAACAAAAGTAACTCCTGGCATGATCGAGTGATGAACCATTCGAGCCTTGTAGGGTGTTTTGTTTTCTCTGAGGCCGGGACCCGTGGTGACATTTACATAGAATGTTTGAACACCACGCGCGTTCAAAATACTAATATTTCAATAAGCTTGTGTTCTTAGCCAACCCTAAATCACTCCTTTAGGGCAACATGGCCTTCCAAAACCTTTTCGGGTGGTCTTTCAGACAGGGTTCTTGGTGATTCTCCGGGAGCTTTGTCCCACTCCCAAAGTTCCACAACCCCAAAAGGACTCCTTGGGAACGCGTTGGAGCCCAGGCTTCTCCATGGGAGCCTCACCTCCTTCGGGGACGGGGCCCCAGGCCTGAACCATCTTGTCATACCTGGGCACGCGAAGGCTTCAAAACCGCGACCGTGTTGGACGGCCCCGGTGAGTGGAGTCTGAGTTTGTGGAGTCTGTGGGAGTGAAACCGTAGGCGTCCTGGACACCGTCACGACACTTTTTGGAGGGCACCGGATTGAAAAGGTCTTTAGTCTCCCTTTGGTTTCCCTTTGGAACAGCCACTTTGTGTAAATGGGTACAATGGGGTCAAAGGCCTATCAAATGCGTATATCTGTGTCACCAAATGTCTAGCCTTGGTTGACCACTTACAAGATCAGAACCCAGCTCCTAGCAAATAGGGATTGCAACCAACAACCATGTTGGCAGTGGGGTCATTCCCTGAACCAGTCCTTTACATGGGATGACCAATTAAAAGATGACATGTCCCACAAAAACGGAAAAGTTACCCTTGGTCATTTGGAGGCCAGCAATACTGATCAACCCCCAAAGGCAAACAAAAGTCTCAGACTTTTGGGCAAACTTTCATCTTGCGCCCCCGCAACGGCTAGAAGTGTGGCTTCACACTTTTTGGTTCCATGTTGTGTCTACATGGGTTCGCAAATGCGCGTCTGTTCTTTGATGGTACCCTTTTTGGGGTGGTTTTAATTTTTTCAGCCACACTCAAATTGCTGTAGTTCATAAAGTGCAAATAGGAAAGGGTTCCTGGGGGCCATGGGCTCGCTCGGCTCCCCTTCGCGTTCGCACTTGCCGGGCGGCTGCAGGGACAGGCGTACTGGGGACTGGCCCAGCAGGATGTTCCAATCCTCCGTCCCAAGTCACAATCACCTCTGGAAACCAAAGATGGTAAGGTTTCTGGTGGATAAATAGAGGTGGGCAATGACCATCACCTCCCAGGCTTGTTCCGGGGATCGCTTCTTTGTTTCTCAGTTTTGTGGGTTAAGGTGTTTTTTTTTTTTTTGGGGGGGGGGGGGGTTGTCGAGGTTTTGCACTGAGTAGTGAAGAACTAGGAAAACACAAGAGGGGATATATATATATATAAAGTCGGGGAATACCAGGCAGAATGCAAAGGGAAATGCTAGGAGAATACCAGGTTCACTGAGGGGGGGGGACCATTTTAAGAGGAAATCTGAATGGTCTGTCGGTAAACACACCCCTACCTGGATGGACAAAATCCTACACCCTTAGAGCGGATGTTGCCAATCCACAGTGCTCATCCACTTGGATCAACGTGGCGAAAGTTTCACTGTACCAAAGAAATGCTCAGGAGACTGAGACAAGGTTCCCAAGTTGCTTCCCCATTGAAGGGAAACGTCGGAAAAGTCACAGCACAAGCGGAAAGGCCTTCCAACAGAACTCCTCAATTCCCTATTGGTTGATGCTCGGAGTTGAGCTGCGGCGGAGGGACCGCATAACCACCCCTTATCCCCCTCACTCTGGCGACCCTACGGACTCTAAAGAGTTTGGCCGCGGCAAGCCTTATCAACCCAGGTCCTGAACTTGCAACCGGATTTTCACCAGCCCACGATTAGCCTCAAAACTGTGTTTTTGATTTTGCTGAGGCGGCAGCAGCACTTGCACGCCACAAAAGTGGTGGTGCCAGCGTTTTGGAGCTCAAAACTGGATATTTCGATCTGGGCAAAACCCAGGTTCTAATTACGTGCAATAGTGGGCTGCCTTCGGATCCCTGCTAAAAGTTTAACTTTTAGTGGGTGAAAGAGAAACTACCACTAAACTTTAAAAAGCTAAAAAGCTATGGCTCGGAGCCACCAAGAAACGATTGGCGGCGTCCTACGTTGCTTGCCAGTAAATGGACAAACAAGGCATCCTTGTTTGCAAATGGACAGGGTTGACAAACGGACAAGAGACAGGGCTACGAACAACAAACTTCGTACGGACAGGAATATCATTTCCTCAGTGAGTGGCACCACGAAAGCAACGCGTGAAAGTGAGATTTCCAGAAAGTAGCAAGTCCTGAGATGTGGGAGGGAAACAATCGCATGCCTCACCAAGGCGCCAAAGGATTTGTGGATTGCGGTCTGAAAGCAAGCGGCAAATTTGCAAAGGGAGGTCGAGGGCGAAATCGGCCACCCACGTGGAAGAATTGAAAGGGAGCTGTAAATCATCTGGCCAGAAACACAGAACATGGCGGAGAAAGTGAGTCTCAGTGATTTCACAGCTGTAACCATCCATCCAGAACGTATCCGAAATAGGCGTCAAGCACAAGGCCCCCCAAAAAGCATGGGCACCATTCAGCAATTGCACGAAGGAAAGTGGAGGACGTTGGATGGGAAAAACACACATGTCCAGCCAAAAAGTCAACAGCCTTGGGGGTCCAACCAATTGGCAGCCGAGTGCTCCCAGACCCCAGCGGCCATAGGGGAAACCGGCCATAGGGGAAATCCTCCAAAAAGGAAGTCTGCTTTTCTCCCGAGCATCATTGATCACTACCTGGTTATAGCTGGGCGAGGCCGCGTAGTTCAACAACTCGTTCCCGCCTGAGCTGACGAGAAGACCGAGCGAGCAGGATACCCTTTTGAGCTGGCAGAGAGGATTCCTAACGACGTTCGATTTGGAAGGGGGCCGGGCTCTGGTCGCCTTCTGGAAGCCACAAGCAAGTTGATATTGAAAGATAGATGTGGACGGGAAAATGTTTGGGCACACACACGCACAGGTTTCTTAGGGGGTGACAAGCCCAGGTGAGCGAATCCTGGCGCAGAATGCTGGCCGGACACTGTTGTCTTGTTGGTTTCCTCTAGCTCTGTGTGGCCAATGCCAACCACTGAAAAGACTTACGCTGGGGGCTAGGAATCCCCAAAGATTTGGATCTAAGGATTCAAGGTTCTCAGCTCTTGAAACTTGAGAAGAGGGTGATGGAATTCCAGCAAATGATCATGGCATCAGCTCCCCCATCCCTCCGCGAGAGGCACGCAGTTGCTAAGGAGGGGTGGACGGGGCAGGGCCCCAGTTCAATTTGATGATTGAACCACTCTTGTTTAAGCCAGACCTCCATGTTTTGGCTTAAAAGGGAAGACCCCAACACAAAAAACAGAAATGGTGCCAGGTTAACAACCTTCTTTGGGGTGTCCTGAGCCGGCCTTCCGTGGAGGAGTAGAGGGCCGAGGGAAAGGCACCCGCCAGCCAAATCAGCACATCCTCGCCAAAAGGGTGGGAAAAAGCGCATAAGGCATTGTGTGTGGGCGCCGCGGGGGGTGTATGTGTGTCCCTGCGCGCGCATGTGTCTGTGCTCGTCTGTCTGTGTCTGCGTCTGTCTGCGTCTGCGTCTGTCTCTGAGTCTTTGTGGGTGTGTGTGTGTGTGGGTGTGCGCGCGAGTGTGGGGGTGCGTGTGCGTGCGCATAAGCGTGCGCGTGCATTCGTGCGCGTGAGTGAGTGTGCGCGCGCGTGCGGGTGTGTGTGTGTGTGTGTGTGTGCCGTGTCTCTGTCTCTGTCTCTCTCTCTGTCTCTGTCTCTGTCTCTGTCTCTGTCTCTGTCTCTGTCTCTGTCTCTGTCTCTGTCTCTGTCTCTGTCTGTCTCTGTCTCTGTCTCTGTCTGTCTCTGTCTCTGTCTCTGTCTCTGTCTCTGTCTCTGTCTCTGTCTCTGTCTCTGTCTCTGTCTGTCTGTGTCTGTGTGCGTGTGCGTGTGTCTCTGTGCGTGTGTGGGTGTGTGTGCGTGTGTCTGTGTGTGTGTGTGCGGCTCTGTGCGTGTGCGCGTGTTTGTGTGCTTGTGTGTGTGTGTGTGTGTTTGCTTGCTTGTTTGTTTGTTTGTTCCCCACCCGACAGGAAGGGGTTGTTGGATTTAATGTTGGAATCCGCGTTTGCAATGCTTCTACACCACGCCCCCACCCAGAATCCCGCCAGAGCAGCTCGCCAGTGGATCCCGCCGAGTATCCCGTCAGAGCTGCTCGCCAGTGGATCCCGCCGAGTATCCCGCCAGAGCGGCTCGCCAGTGGATCCCGCCGAGTATCCCCCAGAGCGGCTCGCCAGTAGATCCGAGCTGCTCGTTGGATCCCGCCGAGTATCCCGCCAGAGCTGCTCGCCAGTGGATCCTGCCGTATCCCTCCAGAGCGGCTCGCCAGTGGATCCCGCCGAGTTCCGCCAGTGGATCCCGCCGAGTATCCCGCCAGAGCGGCTCGCCAGTGGATCCCGCCAAGTATCCCGCCAGAGCTGCTCGCCAGTGGATCCTGCCGAGTATCCCGCCAGAGCGGCTCGCCAGTGGATCCCGCCGAGTATCCCGCCAGAGCGGCTCGCCAGTGGATCCCGCCGAGTATCCTGCCAGAGCCGCTCGCCAGTGGATCCCGCCGAGTATCCCGCTGAGGTCGAAGTCTCCAGGATGCGGAGGAATTTGTTGTAACGGCCGTAAGCTCGTGAGTGTGGAGGGCGGGGATTGCTCGAAGCGAAGTATTTTATTTGCTTGTTTGTTTGTTTGTTTGTGTGTTTGTTTGTTTGCTTGTTTGTTCGCTTGCTTGCTTGCTTGATTGCTTGGCTGGTTGGTTGGTTGGTTGGCTGGTGTTTGCTTTGTTTGTTTGGTTATGGGTTGTTTTATTGTTCGCAAATGTGGTGAGCCACATCCGGACGTCCAAAAAAAGCACCACAGCTTTTGCAACGCCCTCTCCTTCACTTTGTTTCTTTTCAGCGTTCCAGCAGCCCTGGTCTATTCTTGGCAGCGGGGTGAGATGTCAGTCCTTTTTGGTGTTCATACCCATGGCCTGGTTAGGGACAGCCTGCGTGGGTGACGCGTGGCCACAGGCTTCGCCCTCGCTTTGGGCTATCAGAGATGCCCTGGTTCGAGCCCCAGGATATGGGTTGTCAAAGCTGTCTGGTCCGCCTGGGTCGGCCTCAGGTTCGGCCCTGCAACTGTCACAGTCCAAGCACAAATGGCCGGCGTAACCCTGCACGTGCAAAGCCTGAGGCTTTGGACTGTCAGCCTCAAGACTTGTCATGGTCCGCCCGGGCAAGGCTTCGTCACTGTATGTCGTCCGCCCGGGCCTCGGACTGTGGTTCGGGCACTGGCTCTCAGCTGTCCAGCTGACGCGAGAACCTCAGGCTTGGGAGAGTGGCAGCTGGCAGTTCCTGTCTGTCACAGTCTATAGGCTCTGTCGCAGCTGTCGAAAGAGTCAGCCATAGGCTGTCGAAGTAATGTCTGTCGGCCGGCGGTGAGCGGGCGGTCGGGCGGGTGGTCAGATGTCGGTGTCACCTAAGGGTGGGCCACCCCCAAAAAATGCGTTGAAAGTTCACAACTTGCAGAACCATCGAGGGACACATCAGCTCCAAAAGGGGGTGGTTTGCATGGCGAATCGTTTGAATGTCACTGGGTTGAAACCAAAACTGTCTTGCAGCCCGATTGAGTCGGTGGGGAATTGCTGTCGTCGTTCACCAAGATTGAAGTTGAAGGAACGCGCCAAACAACTCTCGAGTTGCCCTCCCCACGTTGCCATGCAAACTGGGGGTCCTGAACCTGTCCTCTCCATGAGACCAAAGCTTTGGTAGCTCCATGGAACAAAGGACCCAAGGGTGTTCCCCCTCATTTCCTGAAATGGTTGACCAAACCGAACTGTTTGTTGATCGTGCAAACGCGCTTTCCCAAAAAAAACAAAGTCCGGAAACTCGGGAAGTGAGCGGTGCGAGGGTATTCCCTTTTGTGACACCCTTCTGTCCACGTCCGTCCTCTCGCGTCTCGATGCGGTCGAAGGACATGTCATGGTCGAGATCCTATTCGGGGTTACAATCGAAAACTCTTAGCGCATATTTTGCTATTGTCGCCCTTTGTATGTTCTGTGGACCCGCCCCTGGAAGGGTCTAAAAGAGTAAAAGCGTGCGGGGGCAGTTTGGTGGATCAGATCTGCTAGGAGTGTTGACCTTCAAGGGGGCTATTGGCGGGTGGGGGGGAGGGGGGCTATCGCTGATGAAACTTTGGCTTCCCTTTAGGCTTTTCCTCAGGCTTCTCCTTGGGCGTATTCTTCGGCGTATCCTTAGGCTTATGAAGGTATAACTTAACCGGTATAGCCCCCAATAGACCCCCTGGAGGTCTCAAATAGTTGGTTTCCGGAACAAACCACACAACCACAACAAAATCCACATTTGTTGAGAAACAATCATGTGGTTCAGCATACAATGGAAGGCGTGGTGGTATCCAACACTTTCACGCCATAAGCATAATGCGAGTGTGGTACCAAATATATATATATATATATATATATATCCGCCGACATTGCTCGGCGTGTCGGATACTTACTAGAGGATAGAGGATAACCCCCCCCTAAC